GTTGATCGAATATCGATAGCTATCTCATTGAATTAGATTTCTGTCAACCGTTTATTTTTTCACCGTCCATTTTTTTATACAAAACTGATTTGATCACATACCTATCGATATCCGATCAACGTTATTTTTTACAAGCATATATTACTCGACAATTTCTACATATTGAATGGTTCAAATTATCAAAACGAGACCCGTGGCAAATTCCTATGGGCCTAACAGTACCCTTTAGTCCGATCACAAACTAGAAGGAAGGCAGCCCCTAATTTAATGGGCAGTGGCTTGCCTAAACTGTAGGGTCTACTCTGGCCCATTGGCTTGCCTAAGCCTTTTTTGATAATCCGAACAATTCACATTTTAGAATTTGTTGAGTACATTATCCCTGTAAAAAATCACGTCCATCAAATAACGGATACTATGTATTCGGATCATTTTTTTTATGAACTGTTAATTTTTTGACCGTCATTTTTTTCCCAGATAAAAGTGATCCGAATATATAGTATCCGTTATCCGATCGATGTATTTTTTACAAGAATAATATACTCAACAAATCTTAAAATATGAACAGCTCAAATTATCAAAAAAGAACCCAAAAATGAACCCAATAGGTCAAACTGGACTGAACTGTCCCAGCTCTGAACTGAAGACAATCCAAACCCGATTTAATGCATCTCTTAAGGTAAGAATATTTTTGTTTTGGCTATGCTAATAAAATAAAATAAAATAGCTTTTGTTGCCATTATTTAATCAATCTGGGATCTAGGGTTTTGTTCTTTATGTCGTTTTGGGTAATTATTCAGTAATTTCAGAGTATCGATACGTAATATTTTATAGTATTATGATTAGTGGAAAAGGTGATAGGTGGGATATTATATTGAGTGATTGGGAAACATAAGGGAACATTGAATGATGATTGATTAAGGAGTACAGACATGTGATATTTCACGAATATTTAATAATTTCCCGTCCAATTGCTATCATTTACTTCCTTTTTGTTATCTATATTTTATTTATGGGTAAATTACAAAAACACCCCTCAAGATTTGCTTAAAATACATATTGTCCTCTATGGTTTGAAAAACTACAAATATCCCCTTATTAGAATTTTTTATTTAACAAATTTAACTAAAAAAAGAAAATTCATAATTGCTCTCCTATACAATAATAAAATTACCTAAATTATTAATTAAAACATATTTTTAACATCATTAAAAATTGTTAATTGACTTGAAAATTTATTAATAAAAGGGACGATTTGTTATGAAATTAAAAATCTCAGGGAGTAGAATGTAATTTTCAAAATCACAGGGAACGATTCGTATTTTAATCAAATCTTAAGAGTGTATTTGTAATTTACCCTTTATTTATTTGTTTGTTTTTTAACAATGGGTGATTTTGATTCTTAATTACCGGTGACAATTGTTGTTGATATCATTCCTTAAACCTGCTTCTAACTTAATTTCATGTATTTTGATTTTTGACCTAAATGAATAGGTAACATTTTCTTTTATCAGAAATTGTGACATAATTTTGAAATTTTAAACTCCTCCAAAAATTCTTTCAATTTTTCCAACATGTGATACATTTCGTGCCCAAAACGGTAAATTTAAGCGATCCAAATGATTCCATTTTTTTTTTCAATATATTTCCATAAGAACAAAAAATAGATAAATATAATAAACTAAAATTTGAGGAAAGTGGAGTTTCGGCAGTATAAAAACATAAAAAAATAGTCATAATTGAAATTTTTAAAATTTCAAAACTATATCACAATTTCTGACAAATAAAATGTAGTGTATTCATCTAAGTCAAAAATCGAACTACATGAAACTAAGTTAGAAGTAGATTTAAGGAACGATATCAACGACAATTGCCACCGGCTAAAAGTTCTTTCAATTTTCCCCCATCATTGTCAATGAAATTTGATATGATAAAATGTTTCTTGGCTTTTAGGTTGATCGATACTCACCAAAAAGATGCACATATCATCTCAAAAGGAGAAAAGGTGGAGAAGAAAATATATACAAGCACATGAACCATCCCAACAGATCCATTGTTCACGCAATAGTTACCTTGAAATAGAAATTCTCCCAATGGACCTTCAAAAACTTTTTGCAAAGGTTATTGCTAATGCTAATGTCAAAGACTACTTGAGCTTACGTGATATATGGAGAAGGTCGATGTCACTTGCTCCTCCAATTCGCTGGAGAAGTGATCTGACTGGTTTAACATCCAGTGACTGTTGGCTCATGTTCTTTCACAAGGAAAAAATGTTATGATCTTTCTATGATCCAATCAACAATTTGACATATTACATGAATAGCAATGAATTATTTGGATGTAAGATTCGATTGTCAAACGATGGTTGGCTTCTTGTTGCTGAAGGTCTGAGGTTTTTTTTTCTTTGAATTCTTCAGTAAAACAAAGATTAAGCTTCCTGACTTGGTGGAAGACAATTGTTTTGATGGCATTTCATTCTCAGCCTCGCCAATTTCTTCAGGTTGGGTTGTTTTTGCCATTTCTCATTCAACTTCCATGGTAGTAAATATTTCATGTATGAAGGCAGGCGATGAGAATTGGACTAACAGTAGGTATGATAATGGACGACCATTCGTCTCATCAGGTTGCAATCCAGTTTTCTATGATCAATGTTTCTATTGTTTGGGTGAGGAAGAAAGTTTGGGTACCTTTAAATTAACAATGGTAGGTGGTTCTTATGCTCATCCTCAACCATCACAGTTTCTTCTAACCATGTCTCGAGGATTTATGGTTTCTATGAAGAAAAATTTGTTCTCAGTCTTTGTGGGTTCCATGGGAAAATCTGTTCATGTTTTCCAGCTAAACTCTTCTTCTACAGAATGGGTTAAACTGACAAATTTGGGATGCAACTCATTCTTTTTTAGTCAAACATCGTCGCTAGTTGTGACTTGGATGGGAGGTGCCCTGAAGAACAAAATAAATTTTCCTATGTTCACTTGTAGCAACAACAGCTACATTGCTTACTCGTTAGACAACTCTAGATTTGAAGTTCTTGGCAGTGATTATTCTACAGAGGATCTTTGTGATGCAAAAGAGCTGTTCAGTGCCACTTGGTTGCAACCAAGAGTGATTGGAACCACTACATGAATTCTATGTTGTTTTGACGGCAGTTACAAAATGATGGGATGTTATTTAGGATGCTATTTATGTATTCAGATGCTTGTTTTTTCATCAATGTGCCACACTATTTCATTATATAATTACATTGAAATTCATGGGAACAGTAATATGACAAACTTTGCGCTGTGTTTGGTTGGAGATTTGAAAAGGGATTTGGAAAAAGAAAGGGAAAAGATATGTGAAACTAGGTGAAATATAAGTATGTTTTTTTCACATTTCACTTACTTTTTCCATTTCCCTTTCCAAATCTCTCTTCAAATCTCCCAACCAAACACAGAATTACTGTGTACAAAAATGATATCTTGAGAAGGCACTTTTTTCTTCTTTCTTGAGATGACACTCACCAAGTGATCCCAAAGTCGCCAATCATTTTGTTACCCCCATTTCTTCTAACCTCAATGTCAAACACGTTTTCGTTATAAAAAAAACTATGCCTTCAGGTATTTTTGGGAAGAACCACATGAGAAACTCTTATAACAATGGTTTAAATAATGGTAAATTTTAATTCAAAAATTCCTAGCAAAACTGACTATATCCTTGCCTCAGCAATGCTGCAATTTGTCATCCAAAATCTGATTAGAACTGAATCAAAGGTTGAAGAATGACAAAATAAAGCCATCATCTTTAAATTCTCTTTAAGCACTCTCCTTAACTTTGGCAGTAAGCAAGGATGGATTTAGAAGCCCTACGATTTAAAATAATAATAATGATAAATAAATAAATAAACTCCTTTTGTATGGTACTATTATTATTCACTATGTTAGAATTCTCTCTCTCGCGATACCAATCACGCACACCCTCGCTCCCGTAGTGATCTCCCTCTAGACATGAGCAGATGGAGTTAAATGAGAGTCGGTAAAGGTGAGGGAGAAGTTGAAGAGAGCATTGTAGAGGGAAAAGCAGGGAGGAGGAAGACAAATAGTGGAGAGGAAGGAAAAAAACAAGAAGAGGGATAGAGAGGATAAATTTTTTTTTTTTTTGCGAGTCTTAAACATTTTTCTATAATTAAGGCATGTTGAATAAAAAAACAATTTATACATTAAGATAGGTTGAATCTTATTTATCTTGTTTGATTTTATTTTTTTAATTTTTATTTATATAAAAAAATTAGCTTGACAAAAAATAAATACCAAAAACATATTTTTAAAATTTCACAAACTATTTTCACCTAGGAAAAAATAAAATCACATGAAAATAATCAACATTTTTCTTTTTTTCAATTTTTTCCCCATCAAACTAGCTTTTAGCTTTTATGGGAAAAAATAAATAAATAAATAATTGAAATCGAAAGCAAGCAATGTGATTGTTTTTGGTTTGACAATTCAAGTATTAGATTTTTCCAGTAAATCCCAAGTGCTTAATCACAGATTGACATAAACTTCCCTAGCCTTTTCGGCATGCCCAATAATCGTAATTTGTTTTTTAAAAAACAAAAGTTGTTATATTGTCAGTTGTTGCTGAAAAATGAATTGAATCAATCACTTCATCTGACGTCTAAGTCTCAATATTACACAATTCTCTAATCCTGTGTTTGGTTGGGGGATTTGGGGAGAAATTTGGAAAGAAAAATAGAAAAAGCAGGTGAAATGTGAATAAAACATGTCTATATTTCACCTAGTTTCACACACCTTTTCCCTTTCCCTTTTCAAATCCCTCCCCAAATCTCCCAACCAAACACAGCATAAAACTATGTTTGGATCATGAATTTAGATAATGATTTTAAAAGGTGTCCAAATTCGTGATACAGTCTAAAAGGGAGTTTATTAATAACCAGAGATTCCAATCAACATGCTGACAGGGTTAATTAATAGACAGCCTTTTCCACAAACATAAACAACAGAATATAAACCAAGAAAGAAACCAACACTTACATTGCTTATTAAGATTAATTATCTCATACATGCTAGTTCTGCACCACCCAGCAAAATTGAATTCACACCAGCATATACATCACTAATGTGGGTACAAAACAATAATTGAATTGAAGATGCATGTATTCAGTCGCTCAAAATTCATAATGCTTACCATGTGACTGTATGTCAAGGAAACCTCCAGAGGGAGTAACTTGGGGAAGCCAACCAGTAAACAGATGCTAAGTTGACGGGATCTTTGAGATCTCTACCAATAGCTTGTGTAGGGCTTGAGGTTTTGAGAAAAAGGGGGAGTGATCAGCACCTTTAAGATGAAAAACCCGTTCCGGGGGGCTTTTGTTTATCATGCTTTGCTGAAGTGCGATAGGTATGGCGTTATCTTCTGCAGTTTCTATGTAAAACCGCTTGACAGAGCCATAGTTCTTGTCAGAAAGAGAAAGCTTCTCCAAAACTGGTGCAAAAGGGATTGGCCTCATTGAAACAGATGCTAGTGCAACATCCTGGACGACAATAGGCAAAATGGAATTTAGCAGAATTATATATGCATAAATGCACAAATTGACGGACATGCATATGGGTAAATATTGAACACAAAACAAGAGTGTAAACAACTGAGATTGTCTTTATGATGCTTTGAGATTGACTTCCAATGTCTGTTGGTTCACCAAAAAACTGATAAACACTTTGTGCAAAGGTATGGATGATCTAAAAGATTTGGAATTTCACACTTCGTTTAAATTTTGATTTCTTTTAACAAGTTTGATTAATTGACTTTTCAATAAAGTTTTGGGAGCTCAAATTGACAATTAAAACTTTAAGAATGACATTGAAATTTGAAGCAAAAGGAACAAAATAATTGTGTGTCAGCAAGTAAAATCAGGTGTGTAGGCCTGTTTATTTATTTGGTTGTTTTTTTTGGATGGAGGGGTTGGCCAAATGCTGCTTAGACTTGAAGTTCACAAAAGTAAGTGTTCTTGGTCGCGAGGAGATCACCAAGAGGTAACCAACTTGATGGTTGTGACTCTACATCGTAATTATTTCAAATATTGGCAACACAAAATAATACATGCATGTGTACCTGCATGCATTCATAATGTATGTCCCTACCCATGTGTTGAAACACGCATTCTTCTAAGCAGTTAAAGTCAGAGGCATAATGCTATAATTTCACAATCATGTCATTCCTAAATTTAAACTGAAAATGTACTGATCATATATCTCCAAAAACAAAATATTATGAGCAAAGTTAGTATATACCTTGGCAGGACTCTGGTTGAATAACAAGTCCCTTAACAATGACTTGTCAAGATTAATTGCAGTTGGAGGGTTAGTGTTCCCATTTGCATAGATAAATATCTGAGCCTGTCGCATCAAATCATTTGAATCTGTCTGCAATGATTACAAAATGTAACTCATCACAAATAAAATAAAATAAAAATGCCCAACTTATTTAGCGTAACATTCCAGGTATCTATCAACCTGAATAAATTTAAAACCTTATTTTTATTGTCTACTGACAATAAAGTAAATCAAATTCGCCACCTTAAGAAGCTTACACCTTCAAGCTCCAGGAACATGTCTCATGATTAAAGCCTCAAAGGTCTCATGTTTCATTGAGGTTCACACTTTCTGTTTAACTCACATGAGGCATAAGTTATGACACATGCCTTATGGCTACCAAGAACCTCAGAACTGAATTTTAGATTCTCTTTCAAAGCTTTTGAGGCTTACACATTGAGGCTAAGGAAAAATGCCACAAGGTATAGCCTCAAAGATCAAAATCAACTTAGTTTGACATCTTTGGCAGAAGATACATTTGCACACAACTACTAGCCAGTAAAGGTAGAAGCATTTTCTGAAGAATCTGAGCATTATCTAAGGCCAGACATAAGCAAGATGCGAGAGTGAATTGCATCCAAAATAGTTGGAAGTCAGAAGTTTTTGGACACAATTTAAGAACCTTCATAAGCCAAATGGCATTCTGGAAATTTTGAAACACAATACTCACACATAAATCAGAACCAATTTTCAAACTCAAGAATCAGTCCACTTGCACGCAAATAAAGTATCCGTTAAGTTAAATGACTTAGAATGACTTGCAAACCTGTTGGGAGAACATATCAAGGGTACTTTGTTCACTAGTCAACATTGCTCCAGCAATGAAAACAGCTTTGGAAACTTTATTGGGAAACAGCTCCATTGCATATGATACACAGGTACCACCAAAATCATGTCCTACCAAAATCACCTGAAAAAATAATAAAAATTAACATAAGTAAAAGTTTCAAACTGCTATTCAAGCTCCCACAACGACTTCAACCAAAATATAATTTAGGAATTTCAAGTGACTTTTCCAAGCATCCATTTAGCACCTTTAAATAATAATTACACCAGCTCAGGCACCATTTCGGAAACAAATACAAAGTAGCTAAACCAAAGCAAAGAAAATCTTCCAGCAATAACAAACAGAAGTTTCCAGAACTTTCTAACTTAACAATGGGAATGCAAGAACAAGTTCCTTTCGAGACAAAGGGAAAAAAAAATTAGGTAATACATTTCCAACAAGTTTCCTTAATGCAACAGTAAAAGCTTGGGTTGCAAAGGGTGAGAACTCGAATTTGATTAATAGAGCAGCTGCTTTGTGCAAATAATGCCAAACATTAGCTCTGCACATGACTTACGGGGACAAACAATGGGCAATGGAAACTAAGATTAGTTCTGAACATCACTACTGAAGTAAAGAACTTGGATGAAGTCTCCAGCCCAAAAAAGGCTCGAGTGTTGACAGTGTAACAGACCTTGCTTGCAGAAGTAACATAAGGACCAACATTACAGCAGAATATCATGACAACATGCAAGAAGAATTTATTAAGAATACCTTAGATAATACCCTAGATGTTAGCCATACAATAACCTATATGTATAACAAAAAAGACTTCTATGATCCAGTTGTAGAACATCTGAATTCACTAAAATTACAAACCCTTAATAGAAACTCATGGAGATTTCCACTTTGAGACACCTCTTATTTTCTTTTTGACATAGATGCAAACTGGTGCAACGTGATAAATGAAAACACAGAAAAGAAACTGGTAGAAATAGAAAAGTACCTTCTCCGCGTCAGCAAGTTTTTCAAGAAAAACAGTAAGTGGCTTCACATATTGCGAAAGACTTGTGATGCTGTTTGTATCAAATGAATGAATTCCAGAACCAGTTAAATCTATGGCAGTAACTCTGTATCCACATTCTTCTAAAAGTGCTATAGTTTTATACCAACACCAGGCACCAAAACCTCCTCCATGGACAAGAACAAAATGGTTGGTCTCTAGATCATCAGGCTTTACATTCTGTCAAAAAGAAAATTAGTTAGAAAATATAAGAATGACTAAAAGGGATGAAGAGCTCACATACTTGGAAATAAAGTCAAGGCATCATAGATCTCATCCATTCCATTTTGACACAAAAGATTGGATCCATAAATTATTGTATTTATAAATTGGAATCTTGGACATACTATTAGATGACAATGAAAGGGTTTTTGACGGCTAGGAAACATTATGACTTTTGGGGCAGCTAGGGGTTATTTAGGATGTTCAAAATAAGTGCACTTTTTGACTTTTTATAAAATATGAGTTGGGTTTGAAGTGATGTGATAGAGAGGTGATGTGACTTAAATACGATAGTGACTTTTTGACTTTTTTTGAAGATGTCAAACTTAGCCTAAGTATTTACTAGATCTCTATAAGTACAGCCAAAAGATCATCCACATTCAAAATTGTCTTCGTATCTCTTTGTATAGGAGGACCTACCACCAAACACCTCCTATTTGAGGACCCCCATCTGCATCAACAGTCTCTTTAAATTGTTAATTCACAACTTCGGAATTCAACAATTACAAATTGAAATAATTGGGTAAAAATTGGGTGTTGTGGAATACATGCTACATGTAGACTGCTCCATTTACTTCGGAAAAAATGTAGATAAGCTCAAGACTCATTGTGTTATTCCAATTAGTAGCTAGAACATAATCTGGAGTAAGAAAATTTACCTATGTAACAAGCAATCTCGTAATTTGTAGGTTAACAACAGATAAACTAAGAAAAAATTACACGTATTTAATGAAATATAAAGGAAAATTAATAACCGAGGGTGGTGGTCAGGGGCTTAATCCCAGGTGGTTTAGTGGACACGAGGTCGTAGGTTTGAGTCTCACTAGTGACTATTGGGGATGCGAGACTCATGCCCATTAATCCTAGGCCATCAACCCCTTGCCACTATGCCCACGGCAAGGCTGGGATCAGGCTCTGAAATAGTCCTTTGAGCTTTTGGAATTTAAAATTTGAACAATAGGATCGAATTGTAGAACCAAGAGCTCTGCTTGAACAGTATTCATAGGGCACTTGGGCAAAGGACTGGACAAGTAGTAAGCTTTGCTTGAAAGCTACTTAGGTAGCTTTTATGGGTTATGCAAAATTCAAAATCAATAGATGGAACTCAAAGGGCGCATTTATTTATTTATTTTGTAATTTGAGAAATTATTTTTCTTGATGAAACTATACTTATAGCAACTTATTTTCATTCTACAAACTGAAAGACTAGTTTGTTGCCCTAACCACCTACCAATTTAAAACCTATTGCAACTTGCAAGTACTTTGCTTTAACAACTCAAAGAGAAAATCATGTTGTCAAGAAAGTGAAGTGTGTGGGTGGATTTAAAGTTACACTCAATTGAAATGTAAGTTGGTGGTTTTAAAGCCTTACTTTGCACAAACTAGGTCTGCCTCCAAATTGAAGGGTATGGGGTAGATTTAAAGTGCCTAGCAGAATTATTTAATTTAAATTCAAGTACTTTGCACAAACTAGGTCTGTCCCTAAACTTTTGTTAAGCACGGCTTTAAAACCACCAACTTACACTCAATTCAAAAGTTCAAACCAAGTTTGAATATTTAAACTTAAGGTTAGAATATCCAGCCAAATGAACATCCCTTTGGAGAAGAAGAAGACATTACGCTTAATTTGAGACTTGGTCATTAAAATCATTCACATTGATGATTGTGACTGAATTATTTCTTTTCAATTGTGGTTTTTTTTTTTTTTTCTTTTCTTTTTTTTCTTTTTTTGCGTTTGAATTATTCCCAATTTCTAGTCAAACGTACAATTTGAAATTTGAGTATAATTTTCACCAAATTACACAAATATTCGAGCAAATGTACCTACAAGTTAAGCAAAACTCCTAAAACGTAACTAACAATAAACAACACATTAACGACGGCATTAGTTCAAAATGCAAACACAAAACACCATACAAATCAGCTTAAAAAAAAAATCAGCAATTCAGTTCAACAGTGATCAATTCGAAGACAAAAAAAAAAAAGACGAACCTGATTAACAAGCTGGTGAGGCTGAATCAGAGGATCAGCCAGAGACCGAGCCCTAGAACTGGAGCTCCGATTCAGAACCTGCTGTTTCTTGGAGTTGGCGTTTGGATATCGCAGCGAAGTGGATCGATCAAACGGCACAGAACCACCAGCGGCACCGTCCTGCAACTGCTGCTGAAGCAGAATCGCGGCCGCGAGAGCTCGCTCATGAATGATCGAGTCCTCCAACTTGTCCTTCTTCGTCGATCGGACTCGAGTCCACCGATTGCTCGAATTGCCACCATTAACTGCGTTTGATATACGCTTGGAGGGCTTGTTCTTCACCGCCTTGCGAGAGAAACACAGTCCCATTGCAATCGTTGCATGCAGAGATAGAGAGAGAAGGAGAGAGAGGTTTCAGGTGAAGTGAGAGGAGAGAGAGGGTTTTTGTTGGTGAAGAAATGGCAATTGGAAGAGGGCTGCTCCGCTGATCACTGAGAGGGCCGGTTCCTATGAAGGAGAGTTGTGTTGTGACTAGGCGTAAAATAGATGGGCCTTTTTTATATTATTTTAACTAGCCTATCACCGTGGAATAATTATAAATATTTATATTTATTTTAAATTTTTTTTAATATATAATTTATATTTTTTAAGATTTTTTACAAAAATAATTTAATAATCTTATCACTAGTCATAGTGTATAGGAAAAGTTAAAAATGATACTATAATATTGTATCTATAATTATTTGTATAAGGAGATTTTAAATGTTGATCAGGAAATTTTGATCAAATCAATAAATTCAGACATGTAGAAAGACGTGGATTGAAAAATATTAATAAATGTTAATCAGGAGATTTTGACTAAATCAATAACCGCTTTTTTTTAAGTAAAAAATAAAAAATTTAGAAAATTCAGATTGAAATATTGAAGTTCTCACAGGCCATGGGTTAAAAATTCCCTTTTGCTTAATATATAGTATAGATCAGAAAAAAAAAATGCACAACATCTGCTGTTTTGGCCTCGTTTGGGAGTTATTTATTTTAGTTTAAAAATTAAAAAATTATTACAAAAATTAAATAATTTAAATCAATAACCGCTTTTTTTAAGTAAAAAAATAAAAAATTTAGAAAATTCAGATTGGAATATTGAAGTTCTCACAGGCCATGGGTTAAAAATTCCATTTTTGCTTAATATATAGTATAGATCAGAAAAAAAAAATGCACAACATCTGCTGTTTTGGCCTCGTTTGGGAGTTATTTATTTTAGTTTAAAAATTAAAAAATTATTACAAAAATTAAATAATTTATAATTTATACAAAAAAAATTAAAGATTCATTTTTCTCTTTACTTTTTATATATTTTTTCAAAAAAATTAAAAATCATTCCAAACATATTAATTTTTTTACTTTATATTTTAACAAAAAAATCAAAAAATTATTAAAATAACCTGTTATCAAAGGAGGCCTAGTTTTGGAATAATCCAGTGATGGTTAGATTTAATTTAATTTAATTTAATTGAAGGGGTCATTATCGAGACGAGAAATGTTTGAGAGCCACAATTTTGTGGTTACAATGACTAAAAACTGTCAAAATGACGTCGTTTTGACAGTTTTGAGCCATTGTAGCCACAAAAATTGTGGCCCTCTAGCATTGTTCACGTTGTGTTTAGTTGGTAAATTTAGAAATGAAATTAGAAAAGAAAACGAAAAAAATTGTAAAATTAAATGAAATATAAATATATTTGGTAAATTACATTGAGACCTCCTAAAGTTTATGTTTATTACAGTTCTTCCCTCACCTTTTAGAAATTGCATCTCCCTCTCTGAGGTTTAAAGTTTCATTATAGATTGCTCCCTCAGTTAGTTAACTGTTAAGTAAACTAACAGATTTTGCTGATCTCAGCAATTTAATTTTTTTTAAATACCAATTTTGCCCTCACTGGGTAAATTACATTGATACCCCTCATATTTTAAAAATTAAAATCTCCTTCCCAAGGTTTAAAGTAGCGTTACTAATTGCCTCATCGGTTAGTATTAGTTGAAAAACAAAATTCATTGAAAAAAAAATTAATTAGAAAAAAAAATTAATTGAAAAAAAAATTAATTGAAAAAAAATTTTGTTAGTCAAATTTTTAAATTTTTGTTTAAAAACCAACGTAAACTCATTTTTTGAATTTACATTTTTTTCTCAAATTTACAAACTGAGACAACCATTTATAAACCCAAAAAATTATCAAACAAGTTTTTATGACAATTTTTTTAATTTTTGTAAATATAAATTGAAAACTGAAAACGAAATGGTTACCAAACAAGTCTTATATGGTAAAAATATCGTAAAATTAACAAATAATTAAATAAGCTACTAACGTAAGAAATGACTTATCAAATGATTCTTAAGCTATGTATGGTTTGATTTTTAGAATTTTTTTAAAAAAATTAAAAATTAATTTGGTTGAGAAATAAAAAATAAAAAATAATTATCATTTTTATATAATTTTTATCTTTCGAGTGGTTAGAAATAATTTTTTACAAATTAAATATATTTCTTTATATTTATTTTTATTAAATTAGCTTCTTTTATTTTATATGTCAGGGGGAAATCCATATTAAATTGAAACCTCAGGGGGTGTCAATGTAATTTACCCTTTAAAGTATATATAAAGGTTAAGGGTAAATATGTCATTTTAAATTAAAAGTTAACGACGTCAAATAATTACACTAACAAAGGAGGTCAGTGTAATTTTCCAAATGTGAGAGGGAACTGTAATAAACATAAATCTCAGGAAATGTCAGTGTAATTTACTCAAATATATTTTATTCATATTTCACTTGTTTTTTTTATTTTCCTTTCTAAATCTCTCTATAAATTCTCTAACTAAACACAGTATTAGTAAAGCTCAATTACAAATTGACGTGGGTAAGCCCATAAAGGCCATAGCCCATTATGAACAACCCAAGCCCATCACTTGGAGCCCAATACATAACCCAGCTGGTGAAGTCCAGAACAGCTGGAATCCAACGTGGCATAAAGAGCCAATAACATTCAGACATACGACAGGTAAAGGACAAGCTACATCAGCAGACAAAGATCTGCAAAGTTATTGCCACTACACATCACCATTAATGCAGCCCATCACAGCATTTATTACGACAACACCTTTCCGTCGGAACAGCACCCTCTCACCCTGAACAAGGTAAGCTACAGCATAGACTTTCGGCCAAGGTGGCAGGTCGGAAGGGACGGCGAAATGATTACCAAAGGATATAAACAGACGTTGCAGACAAGAAGAAGGTTAAGTTTTCTATCTCTAATTCATATCTCTACATTTCACTACTCTCTCTCTCTCTAACTTGCTCGTCGGAGGGTTCGCTAGGGGACTCCTCGTTCCCCATTGGACTCCTGTGTAGGTTCTCTAGTGGGCTTGAACACTCAGTTACCGGTTGAAGAAGCATGGATTAGTTCGACCCTTTCCGCCTGGGACCTGTTGTGTAGTAACTGTAACATCAGTTGGCGCCGTCTGTGGAAAAGCTTTGCTCCCCGCACCAATTGTGTTCACTGTCGCCGGAGACTCCGTTTCAATAACCCTTTCTCGCTACCCATCGAAGTGTATGGTCACGACTAGATCCATGGCTTCTCACCAAAATGCTGCCGACCACCAAGCCGACCCCCCCAATCCAAACAACTCACCACAGTATTTCATCGAGCTTACCAACAGTATTAACCGCATGGCCGAGTAAAACCAAGCCCTGATCAATTCCCTACTCCAAAGAAACCTTCCTATGCCCCCTCCACAACCTCCCGATATTCCCCCCAACTACGAACAAGCCCCGAGCTATACTATTCCACAGCCTAATCCGCCCAACAGAGAAGGCTTGCAACCCCCTCCTCCAGGTATAAACCTACCACCTTGGGGCTCACAACCATCGATCCCGCCACCAATCCTTGAAGGAGAGGCTAGCAGCGTCCAGCCCCCGTTGCCCTCCAGAGGTGACCACATCCCTCTCTGGGACGCGGAACTCCGAGCCATGAAGCTCCAACTCCAAGGGGTCATGCAGAACATCCAGCATAAGCCCTCTACCACAGCAAACTCACCATTTGTTGCCTCCATTCGCGACAAACCTCTACCCCCCAACTTCAAGATGCCCACCATCGACTCTTTTGACGGTACGACGGACTCAGTCGACCATCTGGAGACCTACAGAACCCTCATGATCCTCCATGCATTCCCTGACGAGATCATGTGTCGAGCTTTCCCCGTGACACTGAAGGGGTAAGCTCGGCTGTGGTTTAGCCAGTTACCAGCAGACTCCGTCTCCACTTTCCAGCATCTCAGTGACTCCTTCCTTAGTTATTTTATTAGAGCCCAGCGCCAGCGACACCCTGCAACCCAACTCCTCAACATTCGACAGACCGAGGGGGAGTCCCTACGCAGTTTTGTTACCCGCTTCAACAACGAGGCCCTGCAAGTAACGGAAAATGATGACAAGGTCATCCTCACTGCTTTCATGGCCGGTCTACGATCGTCCGACTTCTTGTTCTCCCTCTCTAAAAACCTTCCGACCTCCATGGCAGCACTACTCTCCAAAGCCCAAAAAATACATGAATGCTGAGGATTCCCTAGCCGCCCAGCAAGATCCCATAACCAAAAACCCGCCCCACAAAGAAAAGAGAAAAGACTCAGAACCCAGAAACACCCAGTATAATAGCCAAACACCACACTATACCGACCGGCCCCCCCCGAGCTGACCGGTCGGCACCAGCCCAATCGCCCGGTCGGTTCGAGCAGTACACACCCCTTAACTCCCCCATGGAACAAGTCATCAATCAGATCCAGCGGGACAACCCCCTTAAATGGCCCCAACCGTCACGAACCCCTTCCAATCGGAAAGACCAGTTCAAATATTGTCGCTTCCACCAGAACCATGGCCATAACACCAACGAGTGCATTAACCTCAAAGATCAGGTCGAGACCCTCATACACCAGGGACGTCTTAGCTGGTTCACGGACACCCGCCCTCAGTAGAGGCAAAGAACAGAGCCCCTCAGAAACAACCGCCAGCGCACCCCGCCCGACAGCCAGCCTAACCTAACTAAGGCCATGATCGCCCTCCACAGCAACCTCGGCCCCTAGGCAACCCCCCTCCACTTGTTTAAGAGATCAAAGTCATTTCAGGCGGCCTTGCTTGCGAGGGACCATCCCACTCGACTCAGAGGGTAGAACTCAAGAAGATAAGGCAGGGCTCAGACAAAGCAGTTGCCACGGTCGATCGACCCTCCAAACAGCACAAGCAGTGGACCGAGCATATCACCTTCATAGACGCCGACTATACAGGCATTTTCTACCCTCATGATGACCCTCTCGTCATTTATGCCCTCCTCTCCAACTACAAGGTCAGACGAGTTCTCATCGACAACGGCAGTTCCTCAGACATCATCTTTCTCAACTGCTTTCGCCAGCTCAAAATTGGGGAGGAAAGTCTGTCTCCTCTCCAAACCCCGTTGGTCGGTTTCACTGGCGACCGGGTCACTTCCATCGGCTCCAT